GCCATGTTGACAACATCTGCTATACATGGTATTGAAATGGTTAGGAAAGAAGTTAATGAACTGAAGTTTTGAAACAAATTCAAGGAAGATTCGGAAAAAGACCCCACCAGTCACCCTAAATTCTCAATACACCAAGGAAACATGCTTTATAAGAATGATTTGGTTCAATCCTCAACCACTGAATTTTTACCAATTGAGTTGTATTCATTTCATGACTCCGTATAGGAGATTATTTCAAGTTCCTAAGGACCTGTAAATGGCTAATGGCAAAGTGTACTGGTCGGGCATGAAGGGACATGTAAAAAATATGTGGAGTGTCAAGTGTGCCAACGTATCTCTCACTTTATCTGGCATGACTTCTCCAACAGCTACCAAGATCTAATCAAGGGTTGGAGGATATTTCGATAAACTTAATTGAGGGTTTGCCACCGGCCAATCGCCATGACATGGTACTTGTAGTATTGAACAGATTTGAGTAAACATGCCACTTCTTAGCTTTAAATCACCCCCTACATTGCCAAACAATGGTTGCTTTGTTTGTGAAGGAGATTGTTCGTTCATACGACTTCCTCTTCTCCATTTTATCCAATCAGCAGCATGATTTTTATTAGTCACTTTTGGGCTGAATTATTCTGAGTTCAAGGTCCTCAGCTACACGTTGGAGCATAGCATACCACCCTGAGACTAACGGCCAGACCAAGATTGTTAACAAGTGTTTAAAGACATATCTTTGATGTTTTTGTAGAGAAAAACCGAAAAAGTGGCTGCAGTGTGGCTCTCATGGTCAGAATTTTAGCACAATACTACCTACAGAAGTAACACACCAACTAAGAACCAGCTAATTCTCTCTAATGACTTTGAATGGGCAGCCTTTCCTAGGATGTCAGCTTACCAACTGAACAATGAGATAAAGGAATGGAAACTTTAGGTTCAATGGAAAGGCTTACCTAGTTATGAAGCTACATGGGAAACGCTTGACATGTTTCACAACACAAAATTTCACCTTTAGGACAAGGTGTCTTTCAAGACGGTGGATACGTGAGGCCCCCAATCATGCATTTCTATGTTAGAAAGGGTAAAGATGGAACTAAACCATCCCCTAGTTAAGTGGATAGTCGTTAGTATATATTTTGGATTATGCCGAGTGTACTCTTCATACTTTTGAATAGTTGGTACAACCAGACTTGGTATGCAAGGGGAGTCCCATCCTCTCGAAAAGGTTGTTTGAATATCACTAAGCAAGCAGGATCCTTACAGTCATTTCCTACTACAATAATGAGCATGTATATCCTAGAAATTACTAATACTAGTATTTATATCTAAAAATTGAGAGATTCTCAAACGCCTATTGACCCTTGAATGAAAAAGTAGTTTCAGTGTAAAACTAAAAAAAAATGTTAAGTTTCAACCAAAGATCAGGAATAAACCGATAACAGAAAATAAATCTAAGTAGAAATCAAGTTGCGGTGGATCCATTTAGATAGACGAGAGATGCACTTCAACTAATCTTTTCACATACTCGAATCCAACAGATATAAAGCATAAAAATTTAAATGTTAATTTAGCATTGAAAACTCCCAACAATTGTTGCAAAGCAAGCTACAGCCACGTATAGCGCTAAAAATTACGCAATAGTAGACTTACTTCTACTGGCACGGGAATAAGGAATAAATAAAGAGTCCTTTCCACTTAGTAGTGGAATTTGGGAACTTATGAACTGCTACTTCCTGATGGGATTATATTACCAAATTAACTGCTTCTCGGCCTAGACAATTACTCGAGACTCCATTTCATCCGATTTTTCAATATTAACATCGTACAGCAACAAAATATTGTTATATTATATATTGAAGATGCTGGAATAGGGGCATAGGAATTTTCAGTTTGCTATCATAAGAATCTGCGTGATGGTATCAGCTGATCACCATATACTACTGAAAGAAAAAAGGCAATAATACCCAATAAACTTCGATCCTTTCATCACTGCCAGGTTCGAAAAGCTTAGTGATCAGAAATTTCATATAGGTGGCCCAAAGGATCTTGAGCCCTGAAATCAAGATAGTTTGTCATGGGAAAAGAAGGTTGTGTTTTAGCCACAATAAAAGTTGATTGCGGCTATGAGCTTCAAAAGATCAGCCAATTCATGATCCCAAGTTGAAAAGGAAATAAAAATGGATTAAGGAAGGAAAGAAGCAAAGAAACAAAGCAGATCAAATCACGAACTAAGAGGAGTTCAAAGCTTATCCTTCCTTAAAAACCAAGACAGAATTCCAGAGAGCAGAAGAAGAATTAGGGCGTGCAAGATGGAGAACAAATTCGGAATGAACTTCATAATTTCAAGAGAAAAAAAGACAATCAATCCAACAATTTCAAGCATACCCCAACTTTCCCAGGAATAATGCAATGCCAAACCATCAAATTCACCGTCCCATCAGGCAGAGTCTCCGGTTTCGCAACAAAACCCTAAAAACACAAAAATCATTAAAAAAAACAAAATCCTTCCGAAACAGAACACACAGCAAAACATGATGAAGACGAACAATAAGGAATACCCACATGCGGATGATTCTTCCGCCACGACTTCCGCTCCTCCGTCAGACGACCGCGTGCAATACCACCCGACATGCCTCTCTCTCTCTCTAGGAACTCAAAATTCCGACAACGAATCAGAAATCCAGAATCAGCGATCCGAACACAGCCAGAAGCAGAGGAAGACTCAAAAGTCTTTGGAGCCTTATAGGAACGGAGAGGGAGGAATTAGGAGCAGTCGCAGAGAGAGAGACTGCAGTTGAATCGAACGTACGGCTGAGATTGAATCGAGAGAAAGGGTAAAGGGGAAAATGGAGGCTGAAGCGGATGGAAGAACATATAAAAATTTGTCTCGATTATGTTCTGAAATTTGGATAAATATTGAGCGGAAATTAAATTGGGCGACAACCTCGCAAAAGTCAAATCAGAATCTGTCGAATTTTCTTTTCCAATTCCGAAATTTCGCTTCAGAATCACGCCAATTTTCGATTTGCCATGATGACGACGTAAGTTCTCTCCAATTTCAATTTTTTTTTTTTTCCTACAATTGCTTTTAGTTTAGTTTTGTTATAACAACTCAAGTCCATCCCTAGCCGGCATTGTCTTGTTTGTGTTCTCACTTTCAGGCTTTTCCTCAAGGTTTTTAAAACGTGTCTACTAGGAAGAGGTTTTCTCACCCTTATAAATAATGTTTTGTTCTCTCCTCCGACGGACGTAAAATCTCACAATCCACCCTTATTCAAGTTCCAACGTCCTTGTTGGAACTCGTTCCCTTCTCTAATCGATGTGAGACCCCCAATGCACCGTCCGTTGAGGCCAGCATTCTTGCTGGCACACTGCCTTGTGTCCACTCCCCTTTGGAGTTCAGTTTTCTCGCTGGCACATCGCCTAATGTCTGACTCTAATATCATTTGTAATCATCCCTAGCAAATTTTGTAGCCTTTAATATTTATTGTTGGGCTTTTATATTAAATTTTGAAAATACTAAATTAGTTTTTTTTAATTTGTAAGCTTATATTTAATAAATCTTAAAATTTTCCATTTAATTTGAATAAAATTTTAAAATATTTGATATTTTTTAAATTTAATATAGTTTGATATAAAATTGAAAGTTTATAATTATATTGGACAAAAATTGAATTTTATATAAAAATAAAATTAGTTAATTAAAAAAATATGTGTCAAGAATTTATTAAGCACAAAAGTACTCGGTCATTAATTTTCTCTTGATTTTATTTGAGCAAATTCTCAATAGTGAAAATTTTTAGTACAACACGTGCAGTGGTGATTGGATCATCAAACCTTTTGATCAGACATATAACGTCTTGATTAATTGTGACGTATACCGTCTTAATTACTTGTGTTCAACTCAAATTAACCGAACCTAGTTCATTAAATAAGCCCGATGATAATTTGATATCTCATTTTAATCATTGTTGAATATGAAAAAAAAAATATATTAAATCAAAAGTACAGAGATTATAAATTAAATAAACTCATTCACCATATTATTAATAAATTTAGGTTAAATTATAAACACGACCTTTAATATTAAAAATGAAAGAATTAACTTAATGTTATAAAATAGTCGAAGATTCTACTCTCAACTAATGTGGGATCTCACAATCCACTTTCTTAGGATCTACCATCCTTGCTAGCACATCGTCCGGTGTCTGGCTCTTATATCATTTGTAACAGTCCAAACCCACCGTTAGTAAATACTGTCCGTTTTGGCCCGTTACGTATCACCGTCAGTTTCATGGTTTTAAAATATGTTTGTTTAGGAGAAGTTTCCACACATTTATAAAAATTGGTCATTTCTTCACCGTAATTGTTTTTGGGAAAGAAGTTTCCACGCCCTTATAAAAAATGTTTGGCTATACAGATTTCGACATTCAGATAATTTAATCGACGTACGATCATACAGTTCAATATATAGTGATGTCGATGTGCGAAGCTCTAGGTCAAAGTTGAGTGTAGGTGGACGTTTAAAAACATAGTTGTCCTGCTTCCCTCAAATTCACCAACTTCTCAATTACTTTTCTCCCCTATTTTAATATTAATCCAAAAATTTTAAAATTGATAAATTTAGATAAATGATAAATTTCTAACGGATAATTATCAAAATAATTAATTATTTTTAAAATTCAAAATTAAAATATATATTAGGAAGGTTTAGATAACGTACAAAAATAAACTTAAAAAAAATAATATTCAGAGAATTAACTTCCCTTTATATTTGATATATTTTATCTTATTTTCCAGATTTGGTTAGCAGAATATTTTTTTAGGATTTTGTAGGTAGTTTGTATTATATTTAAATCATTAATGAAAATTAAACTTTTGATCACATTTATCAGACTTTCATTCTCACTCATGTTTCTTATTCTTAACATGATATCAGACCATCATTCTTAACAACATGTTTCTTGTTCTTTACATGATATCAGATCATCATTCTTAATAACATGTTATAATTTGGCTCTACACAGAGGACATGAATTGCTACATAGAAACCAGGTGAGGATGCATGATTTGTGAAACATATGACCGCATGGGATCTTAGCCACCTCCTTATCTCCGCCCTTCTCTTCATCGTAGCATTCGTAGCACACGCTGCACTCTTCTCCTCCCATCCCTTGTTTTCCGGCTGCCGATGTCGCCGCCACTCCAGCTTCCTCCAGAACCACCTTCTCCTCCACCATTACACCTCGCCGAACAGGACCTCGGCTCTCCTCCCTCCAAAACATTTGAATGTAGTCAATATCCGCTACCAATTGGAACTTCAAATCGTAGTCTACTGCAGCCCACTGTGTGACCAACGACGTGATCTTCTGAGCAATGGGGTTGCAGGATATGGAGTCGAGGTTCAAAGAGGACACCAATTCTACCAAGTAAGCATGGCAGAATAACGGATCCTCCAGCTCCCGTAGAGGCAGAGGAAACAGAGTATCCGCTATCAGAGTCGACGGAGTTTCTTCCAGGATGTCGTAGGGAAGCCCCGAATACGGCGATCGAGAGATCAGACGGCTGGAATAGCCCAGCCGGACTTGGAGGAGTTGGTCGGTGCCGTCTTTGCGGCGGAGAGAGTAGCGGAGGGTGGAGGAATTTGCAAAAAGCATTGTAATTGTGAGATTGTTGGATCGAAAAATAATAATATTAATAGGGAATTTGAAGTTTTAATTATCAAATTAGAATTTGTATTTGAAATAATTCTCAATAATTCATTTTCAACCGCTTATTTTATGGAAACTCTCAAAATTAAATATTTAATTCTTTATCTTTATTAATTTGACTTTCGTTACACTAAAATAAATCAATAAAATACAAAAAATTTTGTTATTCATTTAATTACTTTCCAAAAATACAATATTTTTTTAAACATTTCACGTGACATAAAATTGAAATTTTGACATTGTTACGTTAATATTTATTTAGTTGATCCACGTTTCAAAATGAGCGTTTTAAATTTTAGCTTTCGTCTCAATCTCAACTTGATCTTTTTGTTTTTGTTTTTTTTTTTTTTTCTCGACTAGGCATCGTAAGTCTGGTACCATCGTGTTGTCCTTCTAGGGTTTTGTACTCGAGGTATGCCCATAGTGTCACCCTTCGCACTTATTATGTAACGTTCCTACTTTTTCTTTTAAAATAAGATCGTTTAATATGTATGTTATGATTATTGTATGCGACAACTCGAGGTATGCTTTAAACGTCTCGTTTTAAATTTAATAATATCATCGTAAAAGTAACGGTTGAAAACTAGAAAAACATTTATTATCTAAGTTTAGAAATAGATGTGATCGACCTACCTTAATATAAAAATTGCGACTTAAATGCGCAAATCTAACTATTGTGACGTTTCATGGCTTCCTCAACTGACGACATTATCCGTACATGGGACCCTTACCTTTATATGGAAAAAAAATAAAACGTTAGTTGAGTATTGAAAAATACCTCAGTAAATGTCCCCACCGTGTGAATCGAGAAATGCAATCATATGAAAATATGGAACATGGTGGGACTTATTTTTCGTGACTATTCATTAGGCTCTATTTTCTGCCTTGAATATGGTTGGATGCAAGTACTTTGTTACACATTGTTCACGAACGCACGAACCCACTGAGCGTAGGGGTGTTCGTGGGTTGAGTTAGTTGGGTGGGGACATTTTTTTAACCCAACCTAATTATTGTTCGGGTTATAAAATTTTTCAAACAAAACAACCATTATTAAATATTGATCCTAACCTAACTCAACTATAATTTTTTGTGTTGGGTTGGTTCGGGTTGTTCGAGTCATTTATTTAATAACATACTCTCTTACGTGGAAATAGACATTTAAAACTTCATCATAAAATAAAACACTGTCATGGACTTACATATTTGAAAACATCTCTAAAACAACGCTACGAAATACTAAATAAAACAAATAAAACATTAAAAGTAAGAACACTCAATACTAGCCTAAGTCTAACAAAATGAAATATCACTATTCTATGCATGTGTCATGGTTTCTACTTGCGATGTCATTATCTTTACCTGAAATAGAAGTAGCCTCTTGTCTTTACCTAAAATAGAAGTAGCACATCTGTTGAGTATCTTAAGAAATACTCAGTAAGTGGCCCCACTATTTGGGTCACGGAATTCAAACACATGCAACCCATGATTAGGGATCTATCGTTAAAACCATCATAGGGGTGGCTTCTTGTATTTATAGTACTTTTCTACACACGACCCACACGTGTGAGCGTGAATCGCAGGCGGTTCGCACTCCTTGGACCCATCATAGTCGGGTTAGCTGTCCGTAGCCGGATGTCTAGAGGTCAGCAGACCCCCGAGTATCATTCAAGGCATGATGATGATTATCATCATAGTGTACGCGTCCGCACTCATCATCATAAATTGGGAAGTAAGACATAATCTCATCATCATATAACATAAAACATAAATCACACGTGCAAGGGCCACTGAGTACGTGTCATCATACACAAGTCAAGTCTTCCGACCGAGCCGATGGTAAAGCCACTTAGTTGGTTGGCCTTAGCCGACGTTCTCTCTAAAATAATCACTCGAGTTCGTTTGAATTCTGTCCCTTGAAGTTGCTCCAAGTACATTGGAAATAGTTTCCTATTAGAACGTCCATCTCGTTTCTTTAATAATTCACATTTCTAACTTCATTCAACTTAAACTTGGTAATATGACGTTATACTGACTTCAATTGCTTTAATTAAGGTCAAATTCAGCTCCGAAAAGGTAAAAATACCCTGGCCAGTGTCAAAAATGCCAAATCGAGCTAAATACACCATTTTTTAATCGAGCCACTACATGACGACGACATATAACTTTACACTTGTTCTCACGTAAAACCAAAATAATGTCAAAGTTTAGTTTAGTATTGATTAATTAGATAATCTAAGCTAAATCCAACCAATCAAATTATGTCACGTGGTGACCGAACTTAAAATAGTTAAGATCGAGATCAATTAATGAATATGAGCCAAATTTAAATATTTTTAATTTATTGAAAAAAGTTAAATTAAGCTCAAATAAATTGAATTAAATAAAAATACCTTCCGTGATTTATATTTTTACCATCGAGAAACTGTATCAAAACTTCATGGCTAATCTAGCTTTTTGAGCTTTTAAAACTTAACGAACCAACATCTCCCCTTAATCAAGGTTTGACTCCTTTTCTTTTGGAGTCTTAGTCATTATTTGACTATGTCTTCGAGGAGCCTCGACTCCTTTTCTTGTGGAGTCCTTTGTTCGACATTTGAGAATTCTATTGGCATGACTAAGTTTAGGGCACGAATCTGATACTATGTTAGACGAACACGACTCTCCACAATGGTACGATATTGTCTACTTTGAGCATAAACACTCATGACTTTGCTTTGGGCTTCCCAAAAAGTCTCGTACCAATGGAGATAGTATTTTTTTATTATAAACCCATGATCATTCCCTAAATTAGCAGACGTGGGACTTTCATCCACCAACAACGGGCGAGAGCGAATTGAGAGTTTGAGTAGTCGAGTTTCATTTGATTTGTTGTAGATTGGAGGATGGAAAAACCAACAACCCGTCATCCCTTATCCCCACACTCAAGACTAGCGAGAATAAGTTCGACATAAATTGAATGGATAAATAATTAAAAACAACAATAAAATGTAAATAATAAAATTTTAAAATATAAAGTGCAAAAAATTGTTTATTAATTGTAGAATAATTAAAAATAGCATTCAGTGGAGCAGGCGTAATTCCCCTCTCGGCGTTGTCACGACAAAAGCAGCCGTGCAGAGCCTCCGCCGTCTGTTAAGAGAAGTACCTGCGGAGCTTGAGAACAGCAAAAGTCACCTGTTCTTCTTCAATCCTTGCTCATGGCTACCGACTTCACGTCCTTTCCTATAATTGGTAATCGCACGGACGAATTCTAATTTCAAGTTTTCTGAATCATGGATTTGGTTTTGTTCTTCTAATTAACTCGAATCTTGTTTTGTTTAGATGTTGGTCCAATTATGGAAAAGAAAGATGACCCCCAAATGTGTGAGGATGCGAATGTGTTGGAAGTCGTGAAGCAATTAGATCAAGCTTGTAGACAGACTGGCTTCTTCTACGCGGTACATTTATTGTTCTCTCCCTCTCGGATTGATTTGTCACATTTTGTTGTGATTGTTAGCCATCTCTTTTTCGAAATGGATGTTCTAAGGAACTCATTCTACAAGTTCTTCGTACATGATTGAGTTGGTGTGTGAATTAATTTAGGAATCCCTTGATTCCACACAACAAAACAAGACGTTTCTTTCAAAACCCCAATAATTACTTTTGATCTTTGATTTATCTAATCTCTTGATTCAAGAAATCTATCTATTTGAGAGTGACTTTGGATTAACCAAAATCACTTATTCCGAGCATGGAAAAAATTATTTTGACCATTCCAAAACCACTCTAATAACAGTGTTGGACCTAAGAATGGACCAGGGAAATCTTCCATGGACCAAAGCGAGGTTTAATGAGGTCAGATCTTATATTTAATTTCTAAACGGCCTAAGTTGACTTGTAACTTTGCCACCATTAAATTTTCCCGAGGGAAACCTTGTTCATTAAAATCACTTGCCGTGACTTGTGAGTCAATTTGACAAGGTCTTGTGAGATACTAAAAAGGGTTATGTTGGAAACATTAGTAGGTTATCAATAAGGTTAGAGTGATAATTAGTTAGGGGTGTCTTAATTATAAATAAGGAGTGTTATTGTAACGGCCCAAGCACACCACTTGTTGTCTTTTTTGGGCTTTCCCTTTCGGGTTTTCCCGCAAGGCTTTAAAACGCGTCTGCTAGGGGAAGGTTTCCACACCCTTATAAAGGGTGTTTTGTTCTCCTCCCCAACCAATGTGCGACATCACAATCCACCCCCCTTCGGGGCCTAGCGTCCTTGCTGGCACTTGTTCCTTTCTCCAATCGATGTGGAACCGCCACCAAATCCACCCCATTCGCGGCCCAGCGTCCTTACTGGCACACTGCCTCATGTCTACCCCCCTTCGGTGAACAGCGAGAAAGCTAGCACATTGTCCGGTGTCTGGCTCTGATACCATTTGAAACGGCCCAAGCACACCGCTAGTGGATATTGTCCTCTTTGGGCTTTCCCTTTCGGGCTTCCCGTCAAGGCTTTAAAACTTGTCTGCTAGGGGAAGGTTTTCACACTCTTATAAAGGGGGTTTTGTTCTCCTCCCCAACTAATGTGGAACATCACAGTTATGTACCTTAGAAGGGGATCACATTAGTGGAGTAATAAATTGTGAGATTTTTTTTTTCTTTTTGATAATAGACAATTTCATTGATGATTGAGATTTACAAAAGGGATGTATAATCCATGGAGGTATAGCTATTGGAAGGAAAAATATTAGATAGTTTACACCAAGATATAGCTTGGAAAACAACATTGTCGAAAAGTTTTGTGTAGATATGTCTGCAAATATTCTCTAATTTCTTTCTTTCCACAGATTCCAAAAGAAAGCCATGATAAGGTTTTTCCATAATAGGGCCTTTGCATTCTTGAAAGGGTGGTACGTTAAGGCCATATCCAAAAGTTCATTTACCTCCCTAGGAAATGTGAGATGCCATCCGAGTATA